CACTGTATCATCTGCTGAAGTTGCCGGTGGCACATGCACGCTTTGTTGTTTACAACCAAAACTTTCTTGAAGCTAAAGCTGAAATAATGGCCAAAGGAGGAGACGGCAGCACTCAGGAGGACATTTTTTATCCCTCAAAGAAGACAAAGTGGGAAGTACGGGCATCTTTTTGATATCTGAAGAATGCCGAGGGAGTTTATAGAAGACGGCTATCCTGTTTGCAGCACGTGCAGAAAAAGTGTCTGTGAAAGGCAGCAACGTTTCAAATCTCATGACACATCTGTGTGACCATCACCCACAACTCTACAGTCAACGCAAGGCAAGCTAACGTTAGTGTTTTAGCTAAAATGAGTGATCCGAGGATTTGGGTTGAGGGAGATTGCAACAAGTCGCTATATAAAGCAGCCGCAGCGCCGCTACCTGCATATAAACCGTGTCGCGGACACCCCCATGTTGAAATGACGCTATGCATTACGGGGCTCCCAGGGGCAGATAAGAGTTGGTCTCTCTCTGAGAATAATTATGAATTTAACAATGATTACTGCCTGATGACATTTTCCCACATCTGCAAAGCTCACTGGAAGGACACAAACCAAGGACAATATTTTCCTGATATAGGGGTTATTACTCAAGTAAGGGTAAAAAAGTATCTGATTAGAAGGCTACTTAAGTACTGAGTATCATCTGATCTAATATTTTTAAATGATGAAATCAAACAGACATAAAATAAGAAGTTATGGGGAAATATTGTTATTTTAAAGACTAAAGGGAAAAAATGTAAACAAATAAACAACATAATTACAAAATAACACATTTTAGGCTAAATTTAGACACAAACTGAGGACAATATTTCCTGACATACAGGGTTTATTTAATTGTGTGAAAATGTAGCACGTTTAAAAAAAAATACCGCGATAATACCGAAAACCGTGGTAATTTTGGTCACAATAACCGTGAGGTTAAATTTTCACACTGTGACAACCCTAACACAGACCATTTTAGATTAGGTTACGTTTCCTTTATTCCCAGATTATGTAGTTTGTAGCACTCATTATAATGTTGTAGAAAATTTCTGGCCAATCCACGTGATCGGTATCGGTGATCAGCATTCTTTGATATCGGTATCGGTGATCGGCAGCAAAAAACCTGATCGGTGCATCCCTACATTTCAGACATCAGCCCGTTAGCTATAATTAGTTGACTTAAATGGGAAAATTTTTTACCAAGGTCAGGCCACAAGGTACCTCCCATGTATCCTTACTCAGCTAGCTAAACAGCTAACAAACGGAGAACAAGACGACTTGGTAGAACATGAATATTGGAACATGCCTTGGCGGTTCCTGATGACATATCTCCTAGGCAACCAGGACCAAGACCAAGACATCAAGGCAAGGTTTCTTGGCATGGAGAAACCCCCTTAAACCCACATGTATTTTAGACCTGATTTTTATGGCTAACTAGAACAAAGCTGCCAATATTTTTCAACAACCAGGCATCATTTCATTCATTTTCAACTACATTTTGATGGATGTTTTCAGAGATTAACGGGAACAACTACACAATGTCTCTTTAAATCAGTGTACTTTATGATCTGTTGAGAATTATTGAATGGTCATGCACATAATAAAATATGAAAATGTGTCCATTTCCCTTTCTTGTAAAGCCTTGAGTCATCTCAGACTGGGAAAACACCACACCACCACACCACCACTTTTGTTCCATTATCTTCAGAATTCACATTCCTTCATTCAACAGAACGTTAAATATCAAATGTGTTGCTCTGGCCAGCCTGTATAACAAACATCTAAAATCAGATTAGTGAACAAAACTTGGTCTTGGTGTCTGGGCTGCTCAATCGTCTGCCTGATGGAAGAAGGGTGAGGAATTAATGAGAGGTTCCATCATCTTTCATGTGATCTGGTTCTGCATCTATTCGTGTAAAGGACTGCTTGAAGTTGTCCATTTTTCCTTGTTTGTTTATTTGAATAAATGCACACTGTGTCAATCACTTACTTTATGTTCCAAGATTTCAAGAGCATAAGTTTACATTATTGGGACATATTTATAATGGCAGAATAACTGCAGCTAATGATGATGCATTCATTAACATAGGAAATTGTAAAGTCCTCCTTCAAACTCACGTTTTATAAAAACATTGTACAAAGATGTGCAGATTTATAAAACGTATCACCTGATTCAATTACAAAAATAAATCCTTTTTGAAAATGTTCAGAAGATTTTTCTTTAATTGTAAAACAAAAAACAATTCTGAGTTCTGACATTTCTAAAAATAAAAGCTCAAGCTGAGTAAGCAAGACGGACGGGAAATGGCGACCACCACAAATGGGACTACTTCTTAAAAGATGTTCTTTGTAAGAGCCAGGTTTGTGTTTTTGAGTTTGTGGACATTTCAGAAATCCAAACATATGTTCTCAAGTACAGAAAATATTATTTCTGTACTTTATTGAAACAAAAGGTTAGCTTGAATAAACTTTGACAACAAATGATGCAGCAAACTTAGACTGCCACAATCACACAAGACGATTGAGAGTCAAAAAGATGGAAAGAAAGACAAAAAGTAGGTCTCACAGATCGAGAGAAGAAGAGGAGGTGAGGAGGCAGAATGGCAGAGAGGGCACTCCAACAGCGAGGAGAAGAGAACACAGCAAGGTCTCGTAACCGGGCCAACAGGCCCACCACTGTCAACATCATGGCACTCTGTGGTACATACACACATAGGCACGCACACACACACACACACACACACACACACACACACACACACACACACACACACACACACACACACACACATGCGTTTGGCCGGCAGCCCTCCCAGCTGCCCTATCCGTAACTGTCTGATTAGTTGTGCTAAGCAGCCCCTCCCCTGCCAACCACAGTGCCATCTGCTACCCGACAACATGGCCGCCGACCAGACAACCACACACACACACACACAGATATACACAGCTAGCTCCATACCTGGCACTGCCCTCGTGCCTTCACACGCACGCACATGCAAGCAAGCAAGCACGCACGCACGCACACACACACACACACACACACACAGCAAACTTCACACATACACAGGTGTAGCCCAAAGGTATCAACACATAACATTCCCACAAACTCATCTAATTACGCACTTGCAAACAAGTCAGCGCTCATGGTTGGGGCATGTGTGCACGGCTGCTGCACAACGTGCACGCATGTGTGTGATGACAGTGGTTAGACACTGTTAATGCCAGGTAGAAATATGTGATGCTGTGTTCAAATGTGTGAGCACTCGCTGGCAGCACTTAAAGGTTCATTACGGCCCCCACCTCTCCTGAGCGGCTGCAGTCCGCGTGGCGCCCCGGCCCTTTTATTCCGGGCCGTGATTGGACAAGTGCCTCCTACCGAGTTGGTTTGCAGCAGTTTTGTCGCGCCCAGATTTCACTCGCTGCTCAAAGCGAGCCTCTGGCGGGACGTGGCATCTGCTGCCTCACCTTCCTCATTTACACTTCTCCGCCCTCGCTCGCTCCCTCGCACGCACACACGGTCGCATTTACCGCCTTTCCAGACCTTGCTATCACAAGTTACAACTGAGGTAGAGGTGCAGAGGAGAGAAGCAGTGTAGCGTGTTCAATCACATACTTAAGTTTGTATGAGAGTCACAGTAGTTTGCCATGAGCTCTGTCGGTCTTTCTCCCACAACGCCTTTGAGCATTCAGCTTCTGATTTCAGGGTCACAGAAACACAGTGAACTAAACACCCCTGATCTGCATTCAATCCAATATATTAAGTCTGCTTGCTTGTCTTTGTCACTCTGTATCACCGTGCTTTGCTGTATTCAACCAGATCTGAGTGAAACAACCTGTAAAGGAGTAAGGCCATGTTTTGCTCAGTTTTACTGCCTCTAAATATTCAACATTCATCATTTTAAAAGCGTTTCACTTGCCTTTAAAATTGTTGGATCAGGTTCCTAGGAGTGTACCAAAACATCAACCTACAGCTGTAGCTCAGGAGCTAGAGCGGGTTGTCCAGTAATCGGGTTGCAGGTTCAATCCCAGCTCCCACCAGAGAATGCTGCTTTTGTGTCCTTGGGTAAGACACTTAACCCGCCTGGTCTGCTGGTGGTGGTTGGAGTGTATGGCAGGTCTCGCCTCTGTCAGTGCGCCCCAGGGCAGCTGTGGCTACATCGTAGCTCATCCCCACCAGCGTGTCAATGTGTGTGTGAATAGGTGAATGACTGATTGTGATTTAAAGCGCCAGGGGGGGGGGGGGGTGTCAGGACTCTGTATAAAATACAGGCCATTTACCATTTACATCGTAGTGGTTTTTGATTTAAAAAAATGAAAAGTCAATAAAATAACTTTATAACTAGCACACTTTATTTTGCAAATTGCAAAATTTTGACTTTTTATGAACATGCAGTTCCCACCTGTTCCTAAACATCACCAAATGTGTTAAATGAAGAAGCTAGTGGCGTATCGCCTCTTCCCTGCGAATGATTGTGTTCAGTCACTAGTGATATCGTTTCATATCAATCAGTGGATCCTAAAATGAATCAAACCAAAATGGTATTGTAACTGAGTTTAAGATATGGCCAAATATCGAATCACAATCCACTGTATACATGTATGGTACTGTGATAAAACTAATGGTTTATCCCCCTATCTTTACTTGTTTACCATTTATCAACCTTCCCAGATGCCACACTATGATTCAGAGGAACAATTCACAAAATGCTGTCCATATCGTCCCAACAATTTTACTTCAAAAACTCTCTGAGGACCGCTGACTCCAAAAGGCCTCATGTTCTTGTCTTCTATCTATGATGTTCATTGATTACATCAGTATGGAGTAGAAGACCTTCCTGGGATCTTTAGCATCGGTATTAATTCATCCTGATGCCTTCCTGCTTCTTGATCTGATTTACATTTTAGACACTTTTTGCAAGACATTATCCAACTTTATGAATGCTCAGAATGCTCATGTTTAATCGTGTCCTTTCCCAGGAAACCATAATCAGAAGTTCCAAGAGAGAAAAGTTTCAGTGCCAGGACTACCTTCAGCTCTGGGCAATCACCCTCATGAACATGGATGCCTGATTTCATGGGGATGAAAGAACTCTTGGAAGATTTGTTGCCTCACAAACTTCCCTCTTCTGCCCGACACAGAGTAGGCGCACCGGCCTCGGCTAACCGCGACTACACCGACTCCAAACACACGACCATCCACTTGCTCCTATCTGGCATGTGTAAATGTGAACGATGGGCACTTCTTACTGCGGCCTATGGGATGTGTGAACACAACATGGGAAGAGATGTGGCCAGATGAAGACGAAGAAAAGAAGAAAAGTAAGAAAGTGAAGAAAGACTGGAGCAAACAAACAAATCAAACTTCGTAAAGCCCTCTGCTGGGCTGGGGCCGGGTCTGGAGTGAGTGTATGTGTATATATGAGGCGATGTGAACAGAGTGCCGGGGATTAGGACAGATCCTGGGCTGTCCAACTCACAGCTGGCTGATGATCCAATCCTGGAGCACAGCGCAGCGCACCAGCCGCCATGGGACCCCCGGATGCGTGCCTGCATCTGCGCGTGTGTGTCTGTGTGTACCGGCATGTGGGTTCAACCGATGTGCATATCAATGTACATGTTTGCAAAAATGCAGTTGTACAAATAAACAGGCTTGTGTGTTTGCAGTTTGTGCACCGAATGGAAGGTAGGGGCTGTCGAAATTCAAACAGTAGTCTCAGCTTCATGTTTGAAGGCAAGCTGTGATGGTTTGGGCCAAGAGTGGAGGAAAGCATGAAAGGGAGGAACGAGCAAGTTATAAAGAGAGACCCAAAGAGCTTGCTGCGGAGGCTGGTCAGACAAACACCTTCCAGCTTTGCTAGCAGAAACACACACACACACATATGCACACACACACTGTACAGGACAGCAAGAGAGGCTATGACAATGAATAAAATACATGCATATCTATGTAGCTCTCAAATGACGTTGTAGAAGGAGCAAGAATCTTTTGAACGTTGTTTTGTGAAGAAGAAAAAAAGCATCAGTGACAAGAAAGGGAAAAATGCAAAAATATTTTTTAAATTAAAAAACAGTAGTGGACTAAACCGAAACAAAGACTGTGGACATGTACATGTGTCTTTACTAATCTGATCTGCAGCCTAACTCACAAAACAAACTTGTTCATCCTAAATTGTATTAAACAACAAATCAAAGTTTTACAACTTTACTTAAATATAAAAAGGGGCTTTAGTGCTAAGATCTGTTTAACTTGATTATGAAGCGTTTGACTTTCCTCATGTAAAGATAAATTTATGAATTTTATCAACCTATAAAAGCACAATATCTAAAATTTCTAATTCATTTTGTCAGATATAATTAATAAAATGTGTATCTCCCACTTAAGCGAATGTACTTCAGACTTTAAAACCAGATTCGGGTTTTGAAGAACATTTTTTGACTGACAATGACCACAATTATAATACTTTGTTGTTAAAAGTGAGCATCTAAGAGCTCTTCATATGAAACTGAAGGAAAAGTAATATCCACACATAATTCCAATTATTGCACTGCTCTGGGTGGCTGCATGTTGGAGTAGCTCTGTCAACTACATGTAAGTTTAGCCTTTTTCTTCTAGCATCTTAAGGAAAAACTGTATTTTTTGGACCTTTCACTTTTCTGTTTCTGATGCTGTGAAGCTTAGAGGATTTTTACAGCTATTTTTTCACTTTTTGGGCATTAGTTATGATGCGTAACTATGGCAACAAGCTGGTTTACCATCGGGGGCAGCTGATTAACATTGGAAAGGCTGAAATAATACCTCAACTGAAGCCACAAAACCCAAATGAGCTAAAACGCAAGAAGCGTGGGTGCAGAGCGGGAGCAAAACGGAGACAGAGAAAGAGGAAATTCAAACCATCTCTTCCATCGATTATAATGGGCAATATGAGATCACTGGCCAACAAGATGGATGAACTCCAAGCTCTATCAAGGACTCAGCCGGAGTATCGGCAGTGCAGTGTTATGTGTTTCACTAAGACGTGGCTGCAGGACCATATCCCTGATTCCAGCATCTCTGTGCCAGGATTCCTGACTGTACAAGCAGACAGAGATCTGAAGAGGAGCGGGAAAAGAAAAGGAGGTGTAGTGGCAGTGCTTGTCAACAACAGATGGTGCCATCCAGGTCATGTTTCAGTGAAATGTCGTCTCAGCAGCCCAGATGTTGAACTCTTGGCAGTAAGTTGTCGCCCATATTATTTGCCAAGAGAGTTCACCAGTGTTGTCTTGGCAACCGTTTATATTTCACCTTCAGCCATTGCTGAAAATGCATGTGATGCCATCAGTTCCGTTGTCGCTAAGCTACAAACCCAGCACCCCAATGCATTTGTGGCTATATCTGGTGATTTTAATCATGCCTCGCTCTCTGCTACACTTCCAACATTTCAACAGTTTGTCAGCTGCTCCACCAGAGAAAACAAGACATTGGATTTGTGTTATGCAAATGTAAAGAATGCAAGCATGTCCAAAACAAGACCTCCTCTGGGACAATCAGATCACAATCTTGTTTTTCTCTGCTCAGAATACAAACCACTTGTTCAGAGGCAACCTGTAACAAGAAGAACTGTGAGAAAATGGTCACAGGATGCGGAAGAAGCCCTGTAGGGTTGTTTTGAGACCACAGATTGGATGACTCTCTGCCAAGGATATGATGAGGGCATCAATGCCATGACTGGATGTGTCACTGACTATATAAACTTCTGTGTGGACAACATCATACCCACCAGAACAGTGAGATGCTTCGCTAATAACAAACCCTGGATCACCAGTGAACTGAACAATCTGCTAAATGAGAAAAAAAAGAGCCTTCGAGGAGGTAGACAGGGAATTATTGAGAAGTATTCAGAAGCAACTGAAGATAAAGATCAGAGACAGCAAGGAGGCATACAGGAAGAAGCTGGAGAACAAACTACGGAGGAACAATATCAGAGATGTCTGGTCAGGGATGAAGAAGATCGCAGGCTTCAAGCAGAGGAAGGATTGCCCAGATGGCAGCCTGGACACAGCAAATGAACTGAACAAGTTCTTCAATAGGTTCGGTTCAGGAACAAACCCTGCATCCTCCTCGCCTGTCCCCAGCCAATCAGACATCCCATCCTCCTCTGATCCAACATTTTCCTGTCACACGCCAGCTCTTTTGTCCTCTAATGCAGTCATGGACTCTTCTGGTTCTATAAATCCGTCTTCAACCAAGTCAGGAGATGATGCTGCCCCATTTACCTCCCCCTCCCACCTATCTGTCTCTAGAAGTCAGGTGAAGAGGCAGCTGGAGAGACTGAACAGGAACAAGGCTGCAGGTCCAGATGGTGTCAGCCCCAGAGTACTGAAGGCCTGTGCAGAGCAGCTCTGTGGGATTCTGCAGCACCTCTTCAACCTCAGCCTGGCCCAGGAGAAGGTTCCAGTCCTGTGGACCACCACCCACCCTGAGCTCCCTCAATACTGTTTCATACTCTGAGCTGAGTAAGCTTGTTGCGAGGCAGAAGCCATCTGGCTCTCCACTTGATGTTCTGCCGCCTCGTCTCTGGAAGGCTGCCTTTCCGTGCCTTGGCCCATCACTTGGTCAGATTATCAATGGGAGCCTCAGCACAGGTGTGGTCCCAGCTGCTTTGAAAGCAGCAGTTATTCGGCCGACCCTGAAGAAACCTGGTGCTGATGTCTCTGTGATAGAAAATTACAGGCCTATCTCTACCCTGCCTTTTACATCTAAACTGCTTGAGAAAGTCGTTTATCAGCAGCTGGTCTCACATTTAGCTGACTCTGATCTGTTTGAGGTTTTCCAATCAGGGTTCAGGTCTGGCCATAGCACAGAGTCTGCTCTACTGAGGGTCCTAAATGACATCTATTTATCACTAGATCAGGGAACATCTGTGCTGCTTCTGTTATTAGATCTGACAGCAGCCTTCGACACAGTTGACCACGCGATTCTACTCGATCGCTTGGAACGATGGGTTGGGATCAAAGGGTCAGCTCTGGACTGGTTTAGATCATATCTCCAAAACAGGACATTCTGTGTTAAATTGGGTGATGTTTTTTCTTCTTGGGAGGGGCTCCGGTGGGGGGTCCCGCAGGGGTCGATCCTTGGTCCACTTTTGTTTGCCATTTATCTGCTACCTCTGGGGTCAATCTTTCGTAAACATGGCCTATCATTCCATCTGTATGCTGACGATTGCCAGATTTACTCTCCATTGTGTCAGGAGAAAGGTCACTCTATTCAGTCCTTTGTCTCCTGTGTTAATGAGGTGAAGTCTTGGCTAATGTCCAACTATCTACATCTGAATGAGGGAAAGACAGAGCTCATTGTTTTTCACCCCAACAGCAGGAATGTGGAACGTTATGCTGATCTTGGCCCTCTTTCTCCATACTCAAAACCAGTTGTTACCAGTTTGGGGGTGAAACTTGATGCTGGACTTAAATTTGATGCTCACATCAATTCTGTGATCCGGTCCAGTTTCTTTCACCTGAGACGCCTTGCTAAAATCAAGCATATGCTGTCGAGAGCCCACCTAGAGCGGGTACTGCATGCCTTTGTTATTTCTCGGCTTGATTACTGCAACTCTCTATATGCAGGGTTGTGTCAGTCAACACTGCGTCGCCTACAGGTTGTGCAGAACAGCGCTGCCAGGTTCCTGACTGGGACCAGGAAACGGGACCACATTAGCCCAGTTCTGGCCTCCCTGCACTGGCTTCCGATTTGCTATCGCTCACAATTCAAAATACTCGTCTTTGTTTATCATTTCTTCCAGGGTGGTGGTCCCCCCTATCTGGCCACTCTCCTGAACAGACACTCCCCATCACGCGCTCTGCGCTCCTCTGACCAAGGTCTGCTCGCTGTCCCTCGGTCTAGGTGTCGTACCCGTGGGGACCGGGCTTTCTCAGTCCTAGCACCGTTACTCTGGAACCAGTTGCCACCCTCAGTTAGGCTGTCCCCTTCTCTGCCAGTCTTT